AGGGTATTCAAATGTTTCTTAGTTCAATTGCATGGTGAGGTAATCTATTGTCACACTATAATAAGCCCTTGCCAACTTCAGAGGCACTGTTCGTTTCTACCTATAAATGAATCGTAGCACTCCACAGTTTGATCTCCAGTCCATCTTGGTCCATTTGCTATACACTGCCAACATGGAACATTAAAAAAATATGTTTCAAAATTATCAGCACCTTGCACTCAGCGGCTAATAATTATGTTTCATAACTCAGAGAAATCATGACTCCCCAATTGCTACTGTTAATCTGCTAAACATGCATTCCTAACCAGTTTTTATGCAAATAAAGATAGTTCTTGACATTTGAGGGTTAGTCAGTGTACAAATTAGAAGGAGCTGATGGTTCTAGTACATAATCAGTACTGTTTTCTAAAGGTCTGCTATCTTCTTGTCTTATAATTTTGCAATTTTTGTAAGTACACTTCCAATGGAGATATTTTTCACTTTAAAACGTCTGTATTTTAAGGAGTACTGCACTGAACATTTCTAACTTGAAAATTATACACAGGATTTTATTTTTCGCAGGTTTATTAATTACAGTTATGCTTGGTTGTTCAATTATGACAAAGTAAGCAATGCTTAGATTATCTGCTTTAGATTATCTTCATGGAAGACTTTCTAAAGGAAACTGGCTTATATTAATGTTACGAATCAGGAAAAACATCAAAAGTACTTACTAGCAGACAGTCCATTTATTTGCTGAGAAATAAGACTGAGATAAATTCGCAATGCTCAGTGATTTCGTACATTCAACAACTAATGTGCCCATAGTTCACAAAAATACCATACAGAATAATAGAAACATTGATTAAGCATATGATAGCAGTAGTTTAGTTCAGTGTTTCTCAACTGGATTCACTCCAAGGACCAATAAAATATTTTGGTACGTTCTCACGGACCGGTAAGTTTAATAATTCGACCCATTGGCACAATTTTTGGACAGATAGCTGGATATTTCGCGGACCGACAAATATTTCTTGCAGACCGACGGTTGAAAAAAAAAAATGGTTTAGTTGATACTGAGTCTTTTATTTTAGATTATGTTTTTTAGTTGAGTATAGCATTAGCTTACTAAATGATGCTGAATTTTACATGCTCGAGACATACAAGAGCTGATGTTCTAAAGCTTTTAAATACTAATTATGCAAGTTGCAAAATTAAACATTATGTGTGGGTCATTCTAATTTATGGTCAAAATTTAATGTCTTTCTTTATGTTGTAAAATTATTTCAAGCAAGAAAAGCACAGTTTCCTCTGTTTTAAGAAGAAAAATCATTCCGCACTGAGACATTTAAGCAGAAAAATAAATAATTAAATTGACAATACACTGAAACATATACAGCTATTGAGATTTTTGGTGTAAACCTGAAATGGAATTAAATATCATTAATCAAAGATTTTCATCAATATGAAAAACTTCCAAGAAAATTTAATCATTCATTAATTTTTTAATTCTGTACATGAAGCAGTACCTTTTTTTCAGTAATAATTCACATAATCAGACTCACTTAATTACAGCTCCATCTCATTTTAATGTTAACAGAACAGAATTGCTTAACATATGCAACCAAGTATTCATAACAATCTATTTTATTAAAATCCCATGTCATGTTGCATGTTTATTTGTAGTTATTCATGCTTAAACAATTTTTGAATAAGAATACATGAATGGCAGAATGACTACATTGGAAAACATTCACAGTTCATCTTTACGGTTAAACATCCAGACTATATAAGGCTTTTGTGATTTTTCCCTTGTGTAACAAACAGAAGCAAATTTTCCTTAGACAATACTCAATGACAGCACCTATGCTTCTTTGGATGCTAGTTAACCCAATCCACAAAAAAAAAAAAAAAAAAAAAAAAAAAAAAAAGAGAGAGAGAGAGAGAGAGAGAGAGCATCTCTTTTGTCTCTAAGTATACTACATATCAGGTGATTGTAATCCCATTTAAAAAATTCTGGAAAACGTCATGCAGTAAAAACCCTACAAAATTTCAAATAATTTTGAATACTGTTGTGAAATACTTTTATTCCTGCATACACACATATTTTCAAACTATTTCACTAATGAAGTTTAGTTGCTTAGTTAAGCTTTTTTTTTTTTTTTTGTGTGTATGTGTGGGGGGGGGGGAGGAGGATACTTTCTGGAAACTACTGCAGTTATATTTTTCTTTACTAATAATTGAAATTTTAAATATGAACAGTGAGATATTTTGGATGTAGACAATGACTTTTCACATACTCCTTTAAGATAAGAACTTGCAGTAAGCATCAGGAGTTGTTAAAAAGAACAGAATGGTTTGTGAAATATAAAATGTTTGGTAGATCGTTCAGTTATGCAATAATTATCCTTAAAGCTTTTACTTTAAAAAGTCATCAGATCCAAAGGCTTCATATGCAGTTCTGTGTAATGAGAACAAATAATATTTCAGTCTAACAGCCTCTATGTTATTGTTGTTCAAGGAAGTTCTTTATTCTGACAAACCATTCATATAATGAAATGAATATTCAGCAATGAGTCCATGGAAGTAAGTCAAAAAAGATTAAATAAGTTTTTCAGTATCAGGTTTTTCTGTCTGCTGCCTTCCTTTTAGTCTAAATAGTTCAGCCTAAAACTTTCCCCCCCCCAAGCATGAGGCAAATAGCAAAAAATAGCTTTCTTTCATATATATAAGACAAATTTAGTTTGCTCAGATAAGATTTTTAACATCTCAATGAACTTTACATAATCTCAGAGTTTCAAATTTATGTAACCTCAGAACAAATACACTTGTTCCAAAACAAAATTTGAAAAATATTTTGATTTTACAAATTTCTAATTAGTCTATATTTCATATTAATATTGCATATTGCTACATTTCATATTAATAATTTATAGTACTGTCTTTTCAAACACAAATAAATCTGAAGCTATCTAAACTGCTGGAACATTTTAACTGATTTGGTGGTTCAGATTCTGCAGGTTATAATGTTGAAGCACTAAAACAATTCTGATTTGGTTCTTCAGCAACCCATGCAAAATTAAGCTTTATACTAACTGAAAAACCACTCCTGATGGCTTCATACCACATGGCATATAAAGTATCCAAACGTAAGAAGCCCCATACAATTGCATAAAATTTAAACTGCATATTAGAAATGGCAATAACTGTTCTTGGAAAAGAAGCTTCAAACAAGTTTAAATCAGTGCCGTTTTCAAATAATGTTATTCCATGCAGAATTAGTGATTTGAGTTTAGACATTTTGGATCAAGTTGTCACTGATACTAGAGATAAACCTTCAAAAATCTCTCTCCAGTTGGACAAAACACTAGATGTTGGATCAACATGAAGAATACCGCTGCAATCAACATGAAGAATACCGCTGCAAAATGCGACTTAAATATCCAAATTATTGGTTAACAATTAAAATATAATTTTGTACTAAAGGAAAAACCGTTTTCTTCCCTGACATTCTCCGGTATCAAAAACATACCTCCAAAGCTGAAAAAGGTCCCCGACACTTCAGTGAACATCATCAACTGGATTAGGCGCTGTGCTCTGAATCGCTGCCTACAAGTTATTTTGTGAAGAATTTGGAAGTGAACATTCTGTTTTTGTTTTTCGATACAGAAATATGCTAGCTGACATATAGTAATACTTTAACTTGTTTAATTGAACTGTAGAAGTTAAAGCTTTTCTAAAGGAATCTGAATGTAGCTATCCAAGGAAAAAAATATAAATATATTGACATGCTGTAAATGGTTTCAAAGAAAAGCTACAACTTAGGAATTAACAAGTTAGAAGAAGGAATCTTTCTAATTTCCAACACTCGAAGAAATGGCTGATAACAGTAAGTCTCTTATTTCAGGTGTATATGAAGATTATGAATCAATTGGAAACATTATCAGTTCATTTGGCAGGTATTTTACAGGAGAACTGAAAACTTCAGAAATGTGGATCAATACTCTTTCAATTTGGATAATATATCCCATGATAAAGAACTGTGCACAAATCATATTTTTGAGGAACAATCTTGGAGTTTGGTAATGAACATGTTCTGAACACTTAGTGAAAAGGAACTAACTGTGCTCATCTCATTTGGGAATGACATATTTATGCGAGTCTGGCACTTAGTGCCCTTCTGTCAATCAAAACAAAATTCAGAAATCACCAGGATACACAAGCAGATATGCAAATTGGTTTTAGCAACAAAGTCTTACTATTTGAAAAACTTTTATCCAATAAACACAAAAAAGTCAATAATTTTATAAAAATGATAAATTTTTATAATGTTTCCTTATTTTCATGTTAAATTCTTCTTCATAATTAAAATTTGATTATGCAACTTTGTTTTTGATTCCTTTAGAAACTGCTTCAGAGTGCACAAGAATATATTAATTTTTTTAGGAGTGCAAGGCATGAAAAGGTTGGGAATATGCAGTTTATTGCATTATTTAATGCATTATTAATATGCTTGTCCTTAAAAACGTACTTTTATTGAGTCCTAAAAACACCATTTATATATATATATATATTATATATATATATATATCAGGGGACTGGATTGTTCTGACTATAGAATAGCATGCTAGGCCTATTTACTTATGAAAAGAGATGCCTTTATGGAAGATTTTCTACAAAAACTGCCATATATTTACATTACACACAAGGTAAAACATGAAAACTTCATGCAGCTAGCCTATTCAACTATCAAAAATAGAATTTGGGGTGTCAACTAACTACTCACGCTTTGTAACTTTAACTACTCTGACCATTAGTGGGCTGTTGTTATCTGTAATCAAGCTTTGTAAAAATACATAATGCATTTTCAAGAATATTCAATGTGTCTTAAAGACATGTTCCAGATATATGTAACCTGAATATAAACAACGAAATACAACTAGTACTATGTGTTTTGAAAGAATATTTAAAAACTGTATTTTTCTAAAAGAATATGGTGTAAAATTCACATTGGTAGAACATTTCGAAATATTTGTCCATTTTATTCAAATATGGTTTTAAAAAAGAATAATGTATAAAATTGGCAGGGCATAAAATAAAAACAAAAATCATTTTAACTGCTTCTTAAAAAAGTATTGATGATACAACATAAGAATAAATGCTCAAAAAATTACTCCACAATAGCATACTTGAATGAATGATCACAATGTCACATTTTAATTATTACAAAATATATATATATATGTGTTTGTGTGTACATCAGAATTCCTGTAAAAAAAGTCCAATAATGGGCTTTACAGTTCTTATATCTAAGCACACATTTTTAAAAGAATAACAAAAGTTTTTATGCATTGCCATCACAATTCTGGAATTAAAACCATGTCACGATGCTTCGACCTATAAAAGAAAACATTAGTTAATGAGAAATATGCTTATTTACTAAAAAAGTTCTATTAAAAACATGAATTTAAAAATATAATTAATGCATTATATCTTTAATCCCTTTCATATAAACCAGAGGTTTTAACAACTCAGATTCTATAATAATATTGTCATTTATTCAGTTATTAATTATTACAACTACAATTATTAATTACAAAGTTTGTTAAATTTCATTGAAAATGTTTATTAACAAATATCACATTTTTAAGGATGTTATGAGACAAGCCATGATGTTTATTAACAAGCATCACAACTTATCTCTCATAACATCTTTCAAAATGTCTCTAGTCCAATGTAAATGTTGATTACAAGGTTATTCCCATGCTTGGAAAGACTTAACAAAACAATGTTTTGTCAGTTCAACCATCTAATCTTTTGTCAAAGCAGTCAGAAACAGAGATTCTTCCCAGATGCCATTTAAAAAGCTCTATCCTTCTCTTTTGTTCAGCTTGATTTTTTTTAATGGAAAAAAACATATACAACCAAATCTGGTGATAAAAAAAAGAGTGAAAAACTATCCTGCTAGGCAATGAAAGAAACTACTGCATGACAAAAACATTTTGCAGACTAAACTTATTAGCAAACATTCTTTTGCTCAGCTTCTTTGACAATATTTACTGGTGCACACCACAAGACAAACAAGCAACTCTGCAAACTTTGTACTCTTCTGCCTATGCCTCCTCTTCTTTACATGTTTTTGTGCGCTTCTGAAAATGTTCTCTGAAGCTGCAAAAAGATATCCTGAGGCATTTTTGCGAAGTTTACAAGGAATTTTATGGACATGTACTCTTCTTTTACATCACTATTTCTAAGCATAAAAAATCTCAAAACTTAAAATTATGCTGAAAACATAATTAATAAATAAATAAAACACAGATGAATTGGAAACAGTAGCTAATCAGAAAGAAAGTATGCAAATTCCAACACACACTATGAAATCACCAATACACATTTATTATTTATTACATTGGAACAGAAAACAGATCACAATACTATACTACCTTAATTCTAAAAGTTAATAACAAGCAACTGTTTTAATGCCATTTCAAGTGACTGGCATTAGGAAATTCATTAGCATTTCACACCTAAAAGAGCCACTAACAGATTTGCCCCTAACAAGGTGATCAAATAACAAATATAACCCCTCCTTCACAAACAGCACAGCAGGTGAAATGGTTAGAGAACTGCTGATAGCCTTAAGAAATTCAGCCAACAAACTTCATTTTTCATTTGTGGAATCCTATGAAATATACTGCACTTTCTTATACAATGGACAAGATACTTAGACATCTTTACTTTAAAATGGGACTTTTATTTTCTACCTTTACATCAGAATAAGATCCCTACTAGAAAAGAATTTTTAACTGGCAGTAGTTAACAATCTTTAACAGCAGCAGTGCTTACTCTTATTTAAACTGACTGAATCTGTAACAGCATATAACTCCTGAACTGAACCTTTTTTCTTAATTGCTGAATGAAATGAAAAATAAAACTTCTTTTGAAAGAAAAAAAAAGAGAGAGAGACTACATAAAGTTCTTCAGCATCAAAAATTATTTACCTAGTGTCCTAGTTAGCAACCTTGAAATGTGAAAAAAAGGAGTTTCTCAAGTGAAAATTTTTCCGACAAGTTTTCACACCGAGTGGCAATGAAATTTCAACAGATCTCCAAACTAACTTAAATTCACTTTATGATACACAATTCAGTTTATCGAGCTAATATTATTTTAATATAAATTAGACTAATATTTAATTAGATAGTAATTAGTCAATTTTGTGTTCCAGAGCTAATTTCATTTTGCAATTTTGTTATACTTTTATACTGAGAAAATTCTGAGTAGGACAGAAAAGCTGTTATTTATTAAAGTACTTTTAAAAATAAAATTAATAATGAATGTACATAGCGTGTATAAACTTTGTAACCAATCACTTATTGAAGTAAAATAAAATTAAATACAAATATAACTGATTAAACATTGCTTGAAGTTTTATAATGTTAACCACAGATTACGACAATTCAGATCAAATAAAATTCAATAAAAATTATGCTGAAAATCATTAGGTGTGGGAAAATAGAATTTCCACTATTTAAGTTTCACTCATTCAATAAATTTCATTTATAGCTACAAAAAAACTTTCCTTAGTAAAGGTCAAAAATAAAGATCAGAAGATCTGTGATTTATTGGAAGATGTGACAAAAAACCAGGAACTTCCAGTGAAAATATAGGAGAGTTGCCAACTATGAAGTATACGCCAGGCTACTTGGTTGTAGTGTAACATTTAAAATGAAATTATAGCTTTGGATAGCAGTTTAATATACTAAATGAAATTTAAATAGATTCCATAAAAATGCTTCTAAAAATCTAAGCATATAGTTAACACTATGCAACTCATCATGAAAAACAGTTTTTGTTTTATTATTAGTTCTGTAACATATGATATGTATACAAACATAATGTATGAAATCTATGAAAATGATCTATGAAAATTATTCAGAAATCTATGAAAATTATATATTTGATTTCTTAAACTCCACTTTCTTGATGCAGAAACAACTGTTACAATAATCATTATAAAAATTCTGATTATATATCTGCATTGTAATTTTTAATGTTCGTCTCTTGCAACTAATTTGCTATTGAAAAACTTGTCATGTACCTGCCAATATTCAAGAAATCAGTTTAAACTTATAAACTAATATAAAGAAGCAAAATTTGAATGAATTCTGACAGAAATCTTCTTTTGCTAATATAATTTTTAAAATTTTGTTTGCCTTCATAATTTCCTTTAATAAATTTTATCATATTTATTACCTATAAAACTTTTATGGTAACTTTTCACATTATCCGAACAAAAATTGCATATTTAACACCTAATTTCAAACTGAGTCTTACTGATAAAATTTTTACACTCAGGTAAGGAACAAAAAGTTAAAACTTTTAATGTTATATGACATATAGATATGGAAAAGAATGAAAATTTCATACATGATAGGGTAACCTCAAATTTAATTGCAGAGCAAAATTTTTAAAAAAGAAAAAGGGAAAAACAGAAAAAGTAAATAAATACATTTTTAGCAAATCAGTTACAGAAAGCTGCAAGATATAAGAATTCATATTTATTCATTATAGCTTTGTAATAAATAATATTAACAAATTTTAAACCACCAAAACTTTGCCTTACAGAATGAAACTGAATACGCTTCAATGGTGCAGCATATATTTTACAGTTTATCTAAAATGCTTTAAATGCTTAAAAAGATTAATATTAACTCAAATTACCTAGATGTTGTTGATGAACATGTCGAAATTTAAATTAACAATTGTCAAGAAGCAGATGTTGTAGGTATAGGAGATGCTTCTTCAAGAGTAGCATTGCCATTCATAACATATGAAGTTCCAAGTCCATATAAATGTCCACAGTACTTGGCATCGTCAATGTTATCCTCAAAGAACATCTGAAAGCATAAAATATGTTAAAATAGAACACAATCAGGGTAATTTAGATAATTTTATGTTGAATGAAAATATACATGATATGCAGCAGCTAAAGCCCCTAATCATTTATGGCCCTATATATATATGATTGGCCTCGCTAATCATGCCTTTATAATAATAGACATACTGCCTAATTAGAATCAATATGGCATTATTATTATAGAGCTATTATAGCTGGAGCCCCAAGAACAATATTCACTATATATCCATTTATAACAACCCAGTTATGGATTGATGCAAATAAATATAATCTAAGTAAGAAATTCAAAGTACATAATAATAATACAGTCAAAAGTAGTTAATTCGGACACCCATAATCCGGACCTCAAAGCTAAAAACTTTCTGCGCATGTGCCGTAAACGAATTGACACATGCGCATAGGTGTTTTACGCATGTGCATAATACCTTTACGCACTACACATATGCGTTTGCACGAATTCGCATAATACGTTTATGCGTGCACGTTTAATGTATAACAGACGGTATAAGCTAAAATTATCTAAATTATCTATGTCAGTTAATGTTGCAGATTGCGTTGTTCCTTAATCTTCTAATTGGAATCCGGGTTATTATTTTTTGCAGACTGCAAGAGCAATTTTATAAAAAGTAAACTTGAACTTTCGATTATGTCAAAAGAATTTCCGGATTCTGGAGCTGCCGAAAGGATCGTACAAAACGCGAAAGCATGTTTCGATGTCCATGAAACAAAAAAAAAGTGGAATTGCTGCAAAAAATGGATACAAAGACATGAAGAAATGTGACAGAGAAGTTAGTGAAAATGAAAAAAATTTCGATTGATAAGTTAGTCGGTATTCTCAGCACAGGCAATTACAGGGACTTGAACAGCGGAACTTTGTAACTGAACAAACAAATTGTGTCTGTTTATAGAATTAAAGAGAAAGTATTATCACATAAAACGAAGCAAACTTAAAACAACTTACATTGAAAGAAATGTTTAATAAACGTAAACAAATAAATATTAAGCTTTTTTTTTTTTGTAAATTTTGATACCCTTTAGATTATAATTGTTCTTTATTTCATAAATTAAGGTTTCATATTTTTAATTTTAGAATTTCTGCATGCCATCTTACGAGATTTAAACTGATGATCTATAATCCGGAATCGCCGATGTCCCGACGAGTCCGGATTAACAACTTTTGACTGTAATAATTTAAACACAGTTATCTCATTGTAGTAATTAACCATATTTCACATAAAAACATTTCATTTAACAAATGCATAAATAAAGTTAATATCAATGAGAATACCTTTTATCCCATTACTAAAATTCTCTAAAGAAATTTATGTATCAAATTAATAGTTTAGCCAACTCAGAACAGGATTGTAAACATGCTGCTTAACTGAACAAAAAGTATAATTCCTATTCATATTTTATTAATTACATATTATTCAGGGACATCCTTTTTTACGAGAAAAAAGAAATGATTTAATTTTTGTTTGTAGCAACTCAATACACCAAGGAAAAAATTAGAAATATATTCCCATATGTGGGAATACACACCAAAAATAATATTCCCATATGTGGCCATAACACATATTATGAATGGAGCAACTTCATGCATTTAGTGCATACCAGTTCAAGAGATTTTTAATTAGCGAGTTTGCTCCCCCACACACACATTATTATTATTATGACCCTTTGCAGTGCTTTTAAATTTCATATCCTCAAGATAATGACCTATAGTAGCTAATCCATATATATCCAAAGATTTCATTAATAGATACCCGATTGAAGCATGCATAAAGTATTTCTGCAGAACTGACTGAAATACATGTAAGTAGTTTTACCAATTATTTTGATTTTATTAGGGTTAACATAAGATCGTGGGATTCCAACAATTTAATTATGCTTTTCAGCATACCAAATCTCAAGATGCTGACATTAACTCACATGTGTATTCAATGGACTTTTTTCATCATTAATCTTGAGAGTATGGTAGCATGGGATTAAGGATGCAAGACTAGGATTCAAATCCTTACAGCTTCTTGTCAAAAAAGGGATGGAACTTAAGCAGATGGTCTTCATGTGTTTTACCAAATTAAATAACCCAATTTAATCTTTTGACTCTGATCTCTATTCCACAGAAAATAATATACAACTAGCAGGCAAGCCCGCCAGCTGAAGAAGGGCTGAAGCCCGTTTCTTTGTATATGCATGGAGAAGATACTGCACAAACGATACACATGCGTAAAAGCAAGAAAACACCCAGAGACGAGACAGCCCGTTTGCTGGAATTAGAAAGTTGGACCAAACTATCAGTGTTCTGCAGTTTTGCGCAGGCTCTGTCTGCTTTATTCACACATGCATCCAAAAGATACTGCAAACACGATACAAATGTGAAGAATCACGAAAACACCCATGGAGCCAGCCTGCTCGCCGGGATTCGAAAGTCGGTCCGAACTACCAGTGTTTAACGGTTTTCCGCAGGCTGTGCCCGCTTTATTCACAAATGCATGGAGAAGATACTGTGTACTCGATGCAAATGGGTAAAATCACGAAAACATCCATGCAGCCAGCCTATTCGACGGTTTTCGAAATTTGGATCGAACTACCATTGTTCTGCGCCCGCCTTATTCACGTATGCATACACAGGATACTTCATAAACATTAGAAATGCAGAAAATCTCGAAAACACACATGCAGTCAGCCCGCTTGCCAGGATTCGAAAGTTGGACCGAACTACCAGTTTTCAGCATTTTATGCGGGCTGCACCCGCTATATTCACGTATTCATCCAGAAGATACTCCATACACGATAGATACACTTGTGTAAAATCACGAAAACACCCATGCTGCCAGCCCGCTCGCCAGGATTCGAAAGTTGGTCCGAACTACCAGTGTTCAGTGGTTTTGCGCGGGCTGTGCCCGCTTTATTAACGTATGCGTCCCCAATATCCTGCATACACGATACACATGTTGAAAAGCACGAAAACACCCATGCAGGCAGACCTTGGGCCGGGATTTGAAAGTTGGACCGAACTGCCAGTGTTCAGCGACTCAGCCGCTAATGGGCCGTTGTACGAAATATAATCACAAATATTTTCTGGTTTATTATTCCAAGAGTAGATTCATTATGAAAATTCATTTTTTTAAACTTCAACAGAATCCGCACAAAATTACAAAAAAATTGTTTCACAAGAATATAGTTTAATCAAATGTAAATAATTCTTTTGCGCCATTGCTGCAAGGAATGAAATTTGAGTTTAAGAAATATTCAATTAAATTTTAATTGTAAAAAAATTATTATTATTATTATTGCTGTGAAATGATTTACAATATCATTTAAATTCAAAAAGGCTATGTAAATTAATATACAATGCTTTCACCACTGCCAGAGCATTCTTTTTCAATCATGAATTACTTGCCTACATCTGTATCAGATAATATTTCAAAATTTTTGAAATCCAAGCTTTCATTATTTGATGTATGTGCAATTATGTGCATTTTTTTTTTTTTTTTGGCATCCTTTCTTCACAATGCAATTGTAATCTGGATACCAAAATAATACAAAAATTATACATTGTTAAAAACATCCTCATAGAAAGTCTGCCATAGAGCAGCTGAGACACTAAATACCACTAAAATAATAAGTATCCATATATGTGAATGTTCATCATTTTTTATAAAGCAGAACAAATATTATAAAATTTTACTTTCCAATTAACAGAATTATTGAAATTAGACCATATTTTTATACATCTTGTATTTTGTTCACCAAATATTAATGATTTTCTTAAAAAATTAGATTATTAATAATCAAAGGAAAGGCAATATTACAGTTCTTGCAAAACAGCAACTGTCAAGACGAAGAATTATCAGTGCTACCCTATAACAATTTTTTTTAATGACTGAGAGATTCTAGAATGGATAAGACAGTTATTTTCAATTACAATGATTTTAATTAATGAAAAATATATACACGCGTATGTCAATATCCATGAAAAACAGAGCATCATCCACAAAAATTAAAAGCTATATTTCAAAGTCTGTAAACACTAAAATTTCAAAATCTGTAGACCTATATTTCAAAATCTGTAAACACTAAAATTATGTTATTAAACAGAAAAAATGCAGCTTAGTTCTTTTAAATAAAAGTATTTTCAATCACCAAGAATTCCAAGTTAATAGTGGTGCACAGCAGTTTTCAGCTGTTGTATAACTCATTTATTCTTTAAATAATCCGAATATACAAATAACGAAAAATTCAACAGATACACATGCATAAGTGAGAATATTTTTTTAAAAAAGTATTATTATATTACAGACCTCTCTCATTTTAAAAAATGTCGCTCCTGTTAGTAAACTGTCACTTCCTGCTTGATGCTGTGGACCAATCCTTTCAAGCTAATTATTTTAATGAATACAACAAAAAACAGAATTAATATGAAATAAAAAAACACTTTCTAACAGTAACATTAATATAGTTGAGAAATTGCTTTCAGCAAAATTTAAAATGCATCAAGGAAAGTGAAAGGCCATCCATTTTTTTTTCCCCTTGATGATGCTTTAAATATCTTAAGTATGAATATCTTTAATTTTTAATAAAAAATTTCACAAGTTTCATAGTTACATAAATCTGCATAATTGTTTAGTAATGAACTCCACTGTGATTAATTACCTTTTGTTTGCATATACACACAGATATAAATACTGTAAAGGCCCTTATTTTCGCGAGGCTTTAATTTTTGCGAGCCCATCGTAATCGCGAAAATTAAAGCCTCGCAAAATCCTTTTTTTTTTTCAACTTTCTCAGCTTTACTTAGGTACTTTTGAAATTTTTACACTTTCCGTTCTGTTCATATAAAATTCGCGAAATTTTCAACTCGCGAAAACACTGATGTATTCATTTTCGCGAAAATTACGGCCCGTGAAAATAAGGGCCTTTACAGTATATAAAATATTAGAACTAACAGAAGGAAGACATTTTAAACAAATCAGCAAATTACATTCCAGTTGTCTTAAAAATTACAGTTGAATCTACTGATAAGTAATAAAATGCAAGAGTAAATTTTTATTATAGATCAATAAACAGACTGAAATTTTTAAGATGCAGTGACATTTTTAAGAGCCTTTCAACAAATAATCCCCTCAAAATTTCTGAAAATGCCAATATTGATTATACTAAAAAATCCACCATTTTATACCTGCACTTTTTCTCTGACATTTAGACATATTTCAAGAAGCATGTTTATATACTTAATTAAAGGAAACTGTTGTAGGACATATGTACACAGTTTGGTTGGCTGAAGAGTTAAGGAATAAGTAATCAATACCAAGCATAAGCAAAAATTCCATGTCATCATTATGAATGGTTTTCTAATTATGATACAGAAGTGATATGTTACTAATCTGATAAGAAAGCCGTGAATATCATATTATCATAAGAGTATTAAATTATTAATTATTGTTACTATATCTCAAGTCAAATTATATATTATGATTAACAAACACCAAAAAAATTAAACAAAGCTCTAACTCCAAGATTATTTTTTTTCCCTGGATGAAATGAATAAACTTTATCATTTAGCCTACATTCAACTGTAGCTTTTAGCAGAACTAAGATAAAATTTTTTACTTTTATTTTATATACATTTAATTCATTACTTTTTTAGAGCTTTTTTTTATTTTATATATTAATTATATGTAAAATAAAAAATATATGTAACTTTAGATTAGACTCTAAATTTGCTCTTAATTCTCTTATTTCAAAAATGTGTCATATCTGGATAAATCTGTAACCAAATGCACTATGTATAGCTCCTCAGCAAATCAGATTAAAGTATAACTTCTATAAATAGCAATTAACTGTGTACTTTCTCTTTTTTTTTTTTTTTTTTTTTTTTTTTTTGACACATTGCTTTTCTCCTGACAAAGTGTTGCTTAGCCTCTGCTAGCTATTCACCATTATTTAAGAATTAACGGCATATCTAAAATTGTGGGCCACATTTAGCCCCCCAGACTTCTACCAGTTATGAAGATATGTGCTAAGAAATTTGTCATCTAAAAATAAATTATCCTCCGTCCAAAAATAACTTCCTTTTACGCCATGATCGGAAATGCATAAACATTGCGAATATTTCTTAAAATAAAAAAAAAATTTAAATATTCATCTTTAGATTTCTCAATTAAACTTGAAGAAAATAATTTGTTTAATCAACAAAATTGTGAGTATTATATAAAATTCTTGTCTGCTTTCACTAATGCTTTTTTCCCAAAAGTCCCTATTGTTAAGCCTTTTTCTTCTCTTGAAGGGGGGGGGAGATATGCAAAATAAAAAATATGCAACTTTGGACTACACTTCAAATTAGTTCTTAGTTCTCTTAATTTTTCTTTTTTATTTGAAAATGTGCCATATCTGAAAATTAATTCTATAACCATCTGCATTTCTTTGGTTAATCAGATCAAAGCAAAACTTCTAATATAAATAGCAACTAACTGTGTAGTTTTTCTCTTTTTTAAAAAACATCGCTTTCCTGCTGACAATGTGTCACTTAGCTTCTGCTAGCTATTGTCCATTATTTAAGATTAAGAGCATGTCTAAAATTGTGAGGGTGCCTTTAGCACCCCTAGTCTTCTAACAGTTATGAAGATATGTGCCAAAAATTCATTATCCAAAAATAAATGATGTTTAACTATCAAGATGTGTTGTGCTTTTTCCAAAATTTTAGCTGGCCATTCCACGATGCAATTTCGAATACTCTATGCAGCAGTGTTTTAAGCCGTGGCTAGAACATGAATTGTTTTTAACTTCCGCCAAAATTACAACATTATATATATATATATAAACATAAGTTAATTAATGCATTTTCTGGCCTTTTATATTTTTATGTACATTTCACATTTTACTTTCTTCTTATTATATATAATTCAATTTTTCAACTTTTATTTGATTTGTTTTGATCTTTTCATATAACATAATTATGTTTCTTATTTTTCTCATATTTCTTTCAATTACTTTGAGTTCTATTTCATAATTCCAGTTAAGATTACTACTGTTTATTATGTTTATTTTTATAAAAATAGTCTTGAATTAACATGCATAAAAACAAAGGTATCGGAGACATTTACTCAAGTATCTTGTAAATTTTACTACATAAATTGGGTTTTCACTCAAAATGTCTAAAGAATCTTGTATTAACAAAAATGCTTCATTCAGAATAAGTTCTTTGATACTCTACTTTGGCTATAATCCCATCACTTCATGGAACTACAATTTTGGCTTTAACTTAATTTGCCAGTTTGGCATCATCATTCTTACTTGAGTAAAAGCTGAAACACCTTCGCATTTATTAATTATTGTTCATTGAACGAGAGTTGGTTTATTCCCTTTGAAAAGTCAACTAATTTCTGATCAACAGCGATAATTACTTGTTTTTTAATTTTTTCAAAGTCTGAAATTTTGTTATTCATGATTTAAATTCAAATACCCTTTAAGTTTTTTTCATGATTTACATTGAAGTTCCTTCAAAACACAATTTTCGGAATTAAACTTCCTACATATGGGTTCCCTCTTTTTGATATATTCTACTAAATTTATATTAGGAGATAATATAATCAATATTTCTTTAGCAAATAAATTTTATATATATATCAGATGATTTAAAAGGTCTTAAGATAAAATTTAAAGGTATGTTAGGAACATTAAAAATAATTATTTTTACATAAGAACATATAATTGTACATACCACCTAGGTGTGTTAGAGGAATAAGAAATATATGAATACAAATAAGTTAATGTCATATCTTGTTAATGCTAATGTGTATATAATGTCAGGGGATACGAGTTAAGTCTCTCTCCAACAATATATACCTTACATCATCAAGTCATGGATGTTAAAAATGCCAGGCTTTTCCTGTTCCAGGCTTTCTATGTACTACCATCTCAGGTTTGCAGTGAGGTGAGTATCAGAGATTACTGAATTCTCATACAAAATTTTTTTTTAATAATTTCAGTGGGAGACAAACTTTTATGGTTAAATCAATTAGGCAAGAGTTATGCACAAAAAGAAATAGTGAAAAGCTTTTCTTTTCTACAACATCAATGTCTCAATTGATAATGACATGTGTTGCCAAAAACAATTTTTGATAAACAATAACTTCTAACATAAAGAGATTGCATCAACAGATAAAGGTTCTCGTGTAAAAATAATGTTTTCATATTTCTCACCTACCATAATTAATAATTTGTTCAGGATCTTTTCAATTAACTGTATACAAAAATGAATAAAATACAGTATACTCTTGATTATCCACACTACAGATTACAGGTAATTAAAAAACAAGATTACAGGATGCAGATTACAGGTAATTAAAAAGCAAGATAATCCAAACTATTTTTCAAGCATACTAGATGTGGTTTTCTTACAAAAAATCAGTGATTTTAATTGTTTTTGAAAACATTTAAATATTTTTTTGATCTTGTTGCATATTTTTTTATTTTATTAAAGTATTTGAATCCCCTTTGGTCGACTAAGTCCAATAGAGTTTCAAATGAAATTATTGCTGTCTTAGGATTAACTATCAGTATCTTCTTCGCTTCGACATCTGAAATGATAACAGCATCACTCTAGAACTAACAGCGCAGCTCAGTTGAGTTGTCATCGAGCCACTTTTTTATGTCTTCCCAAACAACATAGTTGACCAACTTCGCATTTAAAATTTTTTAGCATCAACTTCAGTTACTGTCTCGACTTCCTTCCAATTAGATAAATCTCCAATTTCTACAATAGGAAGAACTTTACTCCATGTTTATACTTATGTATGTTTAATTTTTTACACATAGCATTGAGTAAGCACATTCATGCATTGATTAATCTGAACCCAGTTAATCGAGAACACACTGTAATGAATATTTTAATTAAAATATTTTAATGCACATAAAACCACTGCTGTTAGAAAATAAATATGAAAGAACTGGGTATATTTAATACAGTCATGCTGCCTCATCCCCCATCCCGAAAAAAGACCAAAATAATGAAACTGTATACTTAAAATGATAAGTGGAATGAAAAAAATTAATAGCAAAAAGATGCTGCGTTTCTAATTTCTATGACAAACAAAATCGAAAAAACTAAAAATGCATTTTTACAACATATAAAATTTTGATAAATAGCTCAAAATGTAAAAGATTAGTTTTACTAATCTAATTAAGCAACAAATTAAAAAAGGTAATTGCATTTAAATATGCACTGTAAGAGTGAAAAATGATATTATCAGCGTTACAGATGGACAAGACTCAAGTACTAAAAACAGAACAAATGCTGATGTCCGGAAATGAAAACAACACTGGAAATTTAGTCTATAAAATTACATCAGAATATGCACAAATACAACGTACAGCAAAAGGAGAAACTGCTTAGTTTCCATGAATGTTTATGAATATCTACTGAAATAGCTATGACAGCATTATAATTTACATTCCAAAGGGTTTATTTAAATACTAATACAGTTATGCAAGTCTAGATGTAGTACATGGACTTTGATTTAAAATTCTTTGAATAAATTTGAAAAAAAAAAACTTACATCTAGTTGTTCTGCTACTTCTTGTAAGCCACCTTTAAGATTCTTACAGCTTTTCATTAAATATTTCACATCATAGATTGTTGGGAAATAGATCCTTAATAATTCAAAAAACTCTGATTCTTCAGCAGGTAAATTTTGGTCAGTCAATAATTTCAGCAAGTACCCAAAATCATAGCCACTACAAAAAAAGAAAGAAAAAAAATGTATACTGATTTTCATATATTCAACAATTTAAATATATGGCAAGGAAATTTATTTTAAAAGCATGTGTGCTTCATAGGCTTCATTACTGTTTTAAAAATAATCCAGTTAGAAAGTATGATTTGATCTGCAAGGAAGAAAAGAATGTTATGTTTCTCATTTCCTCATAAACACAAAGACTGACATATTTCCATATAGCAAACAGACCAAATTTTTCCATTCGTGCACAAAAGCATTCCGAAATCTTTCAGGTAAAGGTAGATATACTTCATCATAATCTAGGTCAACAGCCCTATAAAACTACACTTTGATATTTTCTAAATTAAAAAATAACTAAAAAATTAAAAGTAATTTTTACAAAGTATTAGGTAAGCATTATAAGCATTAGGTATAAAACATATAGCCTATAGTACCCAACAGGTTAGTCGTAGAACACTGATAGGCAAATTCAATATATACATAACAAAATGGGTCCTCTTTATAAGTAAGTTTTCATAACTTTTCCTAATTAATAAATATGCATGCCATCTTCTTTCACAAAAAAACAGGAAAACATTCTTATAAAGGAAACCCATGACTATTTTATCATTACAAATCAAAATTAAACAAAAGGTTATCAGTAAATGTATCTCGATACAAAATGTTGAAAGTAATTACTCAACATCAGTTTATCAGGGCTTAAATTTAGCCAAAGCCCAATGAAGCCCTTAACAGTGTTTCTCAATTTCCTATGAAATCCTAATTTGAGCTTTTTAATACTTTTTTTCATCCTAATCAATGTTATGTATATTCTCTAAATGAGTTTACACTTTACAAAGTTGCTGGGTGTGATTGTTGATAGCAAATGTTGATAGCATATTTAATATAAAACTAACAATTTGTTTAAAACAAGGGAGTTTCTCTTAGTTGAAATGTGTAACATTAAATATCAGTTAATTTTCTTTAAAAAATTCTTCCAAAAGGTATATTTTTCCTTATGCAGATGATTTTGTAAGTTCTGCCATAAACAAAACAATTCAATCTTTTGGTTTCAAATTTATGAGTTTATTAGAAAGATTGGACATTTTCATTTAAGAATGAAACATAACATCATTCAAGTAACTGCCACGGCTGGCTTGACAATACCCCAGCCTGAAATTCATCTGCCATTCTGATGGGACTGGGGATATGTTACTGAATATCACTTAAAGGGAACATTTTAAAACGTCATTAAAGAAACAAGCAAGCCTAAGCCAGAAGAAAACTTATGGCCAAGACTGCCTTCTGCCGTTCTCCACCACTATTTTAGAATGAGGCCCCCATCCTATCAACCCAATTTTTTAGTAACATTTCCAATTACTTGAGCTCCAATCGCATGAACTGCAACTTCGATTTCATGTTTCAAGCCATCAATCGTCTCTCGAGTGGTTTAGTGTTACACTTAGCCTTAAGGATTCCCCACAAAAAGGGAAAGAAAAAAAAAAAAAAACATTACAAAAATCCAACAGGGTCAAAAAGATTTTTGGTCTGGCAGCATGATTAGGCCATTTTTCTTTGAAAATGAGCAAGAAGCTGCCATTACTGTCAGTAGTGAACATTACCATGCCATCCTTAACGAACTTTTGTTTCCAAAATCTGAAAAGGATGACATACATGGGTGATATTTATTTTCAACAGAATAAGGCTACTTGCCACATAGCCAACATAAACACTGATCTATAGTGCACTGTTTTTAGAAATCGATTAATCAGCCGAAATGCTGGTCAATTGGCCACATCGGAGCCGTGATTTGACCTCGCTGGATTTTTTTTTTTTTTTTTTTTTGTGGGGGGGGGGGGGAGTCTTAAGGATAAGTATTGTGTTAACCACCCAGAGAGGGCTGATGCCTTGAAACACGAAATCGAAGTTACCATTCATGCGAATGGAGCCCAAACAATCGGAAAATCTACTAAAAATTGGGTGGATCGGATGGGGTCCTGTCAAACCAGCTGTGGCAGTCATTTGAATAATGCTGCGTTTCATTCTTAAATGAAAATGTCTAACCTTTCTAATAAACTCATAATTTTGAAAAAATATTAATTATTTTTTAAGCTAATTGAAATTCCAAAAGTTAGATGGCAAACCCTTTACATTCATAATTACACTATCAATAATTACAATTTTAAGATACATTTTTGGTACTTTTCCATATGTGCACAGCAATGCATTTTGGTGGGGTATTTTTTAACTGTAAACAATTTCTAGTAATAAGGATAGTTTACAGATAGCAATTTATTATTATAAAAAGGAGTTATTACTATAAAGAATTTTTTTCATTCTTAATTACTAAAAAACAAACTGAAATGAACAAAAACATTAAATGGGAAACATAAATTTACAAATATATGTTACTACAACAGAAAACATTTCAGCCTTTGGATGTAGTCGGCGGCACATGAATTCTATTGAGTAGAATTCAAAATGTTGGCAGGCAGTGAGCCTTTGGCATTTGCATCTAAATTTAGCACTGCTGCAAAAACATACAATAGCTGGGTATGACAACTTTGATTAGTCAATAAAATTAAACATATGATTCACTTACTGTGAAGTGACCATATCCCACAGCTTTCAACGCAAGTGATTTGTAACTTTTCCAGCAGTCCAAAAATGTCATTGTTCCATTTGCTATATTACATTCTATGCAGCCATTAAAGTCTTAGCCAAGCAACATGGAATAGCAGATAGGAAGTATTATCTTGTTTCTTGATAAAAACCTCCAAAAATCCACTATTGAGGTAATACGCAACCTAGGTCATGTTTCCTTCTTGTGAACAAACTTTTGATGATTTTGTCAGTAGCACATAGCACAGATCTTAGTTTTAGGATGAGATATCAAAGAACTGCAACAAACCTCTAGCAGATAATAGTTTCAGCATTATGCGTTTACGCATGCACGTTTAATGTATAACGAACGGTGTAAGCTAAGCTAAAATTATCTAATTATCTATTTCAGTTAATATTGCAGATTGCTTTGTTCCTTAATCTTCGAATTGGATCTGGGTTATTATTTTTTGCAGACTGTTAGAGCAATTTTATAAAAGTAAGCTTGAACTTTCGATTATGTCATAAAGAATTTCCGATTCTGGAGCTGCCGAAGGATCTACAAAGTGAAAGCATGTTTTGATGTCCATCAAACAAAAAGTGGAATTGCTGTAAAAAATGGATAAAGGCATATCCTTTGTTTTTCTAACCATTCTGAAATCCATTTATAAATTTCATGCTGCTCTGGGGGGGGGGATGCCGCGGCACGCAATGAACTGGAAGTTGATCTGTCAGAACTATCCTTATCTTCAGTCAGATGTTTTTATTTTTATTTGGCTTATAATTCTTTACTAACTGTAGTATTTCATCTCGATGTATTCCATCTTTGATATGATTTAAATCAAATTCCTCGTCATTATTAATATCAAGAATACACATCAAATAGTTTTCTGGTTGCAATTTTCTAATTTCGACTATGCGTAATGTATGCTTTACGCATGTGCACATTTAAAAAAATGTTTAATAAAGTAAACAAATAAATATTAAGGGTTTTTTTTTTGTAAATTTTGATACCCTTTAGATCATAATTGCTATTTATTTCATAAATTATGGTTTCATATTTTTAATTTTATAATTTCTGCATGCCATCTTACCAGATTTAAAATGATGATCTATAATCCAGAAAAATTGACAATCTGGAATCGCCGAAGTCCCGACGAGTCCAGATTAAAGACTTTTGACTGTAATACAAAACAACATGTATGTATATAATTATTTTTTGCAATTATACTTAATAAGTGATCATCCCCATTTTTTTGGTGTTTGCACATACACACATGAAATGTGTGATAATGAAATGAATGATGAAATGTATAACAATGAAATGATCTTCCCAACATAGAAACATTGTAAGAAAAAGTTGAGACCTGCATATGTTCAATGCAGACACTGCTAAGTTTATTTTATGTGGTAATGGTACCTTATATGTATATTTAGCTTTAGATTACTTCTAATTAATAAAATACACTTTATCCAGTGCATTTTATTAATATGTTATATAACTTTCAAATACCCCTGCACAAAATTACACTGGTTATCATAAATTAAGGAAAAACAACAACAAAAATGGCGATAACTCTCCTCAAAAATAAGCCAAACCGTGTAAAATTAGAATATGTTGCTAAGTAAGAGCAGCTGAGTAAAACTGCAATATGGAAATTAGTGGCGCTGCACTCGGAATACGTCATCTGCGAGGAGCATAAAAGTCCATGTTTGAGAGCAAGCCCACATATTTCACTGTGACAGTGATATCAGAAATCTGAGATAGCCAATTTCTAACAATGACCTCCAGGCATTATTTGCCTGCGGATCTAGGATAAAAAGCCATTGAGAAACTAGACGCAGGGCTGAGTCAAACAGAAGTGGCCAGATGGCTAACTGTGAGTCTTCTTAGGTTCATAGACTTTGGAGGCAATTTCAAACCACAGATTCAGCACCTAGGAGGTTCAGCCAAGGACAGGCAACTGCTACGATGAGCGCCGATGACCGATATTTGACATTATGTGCACTCAGGAATAGAACCGCTACTCTTCTTTGATCCTCCCTTGCTGCAGCCACCATAAGGTTGGTGTCAACGTCAACTGTGCATAGAAGGCTTCATGAAGGTGGTCTGTATGGCGAGGCGACCAGCCATTTGCGTGACCCTCATGTCATGCCATAGGAGGGACCGTTGGCAGTGGGCACAACATGTCCACTGGATGACTGAGCAATGGAGGGCTATTCTCTTTACGGATGAGTCCAGGTTTAGTATAGAACGCGATTGTAGTCGTTATTTGATATGGAGAACCTGGAACCTGATATCATCCTTCAAACATTTGTGAAAGAGATGCATACAGAAGAGGCAGTGTCTGTGCTTGGGGTGGCATCTCTTTGGGTGGACGCACAGACCTCCCCGTTTTTCCAAGGGGAACCGTTAATGCTCATGTTTATAGAGATGACATCCTTGATGCTTATGTGCACCCATATGCCGGGGCAATATGTGATGCTTTCCTGTTACAGTACGACAATGCACGACCACACGGGGCTCGCATCGTATATGATTATCTTCAACAGGAAACAATTATGCGCATGGAGTGGCCAGCTCGATCCCTGGACTTGAATCCTACTGAGCACGTTTGGGATACTTTAGGGAGATGTCTAGCTGCTCTCTATCCGCCCCCTCAGACCACTTAATTGAAAGCATCACACATCGCTAAATATGCTGTATTGCTTCTAGAGGCAATTACATTCCATATTGAAGGTACTTTTACTATAACAAACTGACATCTTTGATTTGTTCATTTTATTCATGTGTTAATTTCTATATTACCATAATTGTCTTGTAATTTCTTTTTATGTTATTTGATACCTTGCTATGTGTTGTATATTGTGGGTAACTTTCATAAAGTTCTACATGTAACTTTTTCAATAATCGTGATTTTTGTGATTTTTCCTTAATTTATGATAACCAGTGTAGTTGTCTCAAGTCATAAAACATAATTTTTCAGTGTGTCTATGTTAACAAGTGGGTTCAGTGTGTCTATATTAACAGGTAAGGATGTCAAAGTAGTTATACTATATTCATAGGTTTACAAAATTACACAAGCCACTTACCTATGAAAAGAGATCCATTTTATATTTTCAATAAGAACAACACCAGAAGTCATCAGCAATTCAGCAAACTGATAAGGATCAATACCTTCTTCATCATGTTTTTTAAACTGAATTCCTGAACTTGTAAGAAGATCAATGGAATCTTGGGCATACATGTCTTCCCTGGAAAATACCAACGTATAAAATTGATCAAATATTTGTAAAGCAGTTCTTAATAATTTTTTTGTTAAATTGCATGTCATTTCTATGATTAATAGGAAGGTTTCATCTGTACGCCTATAAATTTTCTAGAGCATGCATGAAAGAAATAATATAAATAGACAACAGGCACATATAACAGCATGTATAAAATAGCATACTTTACAGATAAAAAAAAAAGGTGAAAGATTAATCTGTCACCCCCAACAGTTTTATTACTAAATTTTAAAACCAATTGACATAATCCATGCAGTAAAAGCTTCCACTTGTATGAAAAATGAATTTTTCTCCTATTCCTTTACTTACCAAGATGAGAAAATCATCTTTGAAAAGCTGTTGGAATGTATATCATATTATGAGATTGTACTGCCCTTAACTTAACATTTACTAAAATAGTTTTTAACTATTAATCTTGTACATTCTTCAAAATAAAGAATACAATGATCTCAATCTTCTCTAGAATGTCAAAACGTACAGCAAAACATTTTTTATTAATCTGCATAATAAACAGCATTTGCTTTAAAACACTTACACAATATTACATATATGCAAACTGTTCTAAAATTAAATTGCCAAATGATGACAATTCATTCTGTGGCCAAAAATGAGCAGAAAATGTCCAGTGAACAAATAACAGAAAATGAATAATTTAAAAAATGTTGAACATCAATGAAAATGCAAAAAGATAGCTGTGCTACATATCCTTTGGATGACATTCTGGATAGGTTGCTGAAATCTGTGAAAAAAGGATCTAGATGTTTCAGAGATACCACAATTTATTGCAGAATGAACATTATTAAACTTGATCAATGTTATTAAATTGGCAAATTATATGTTTTCTACTACAAATTCATATGACAGTAACCCCCCTTCAGCCACTGTTGGTATTCGGCAACTTTATTCTGGAACAGCATGGGTGCATATAAGAAATCAAACACAATATCCACAAACAACTCTTACAACTTAATATATGCAGCAACTTCAGTTTAAAACCTGCTTTACAGCTACTAAAATAGATTAGAATTCTGAAAACAATTTTTAAAAAAGATTTCACAGGATTGGAATTTTAAAATAAGTAAAATACAATTAAACAGGGAAAAACTGAAATTTAAAATTTAATATTTTTTCCCATTAGTATCAATCTGGACCTTTAAATGCATTAAAATATTTTAAGCAATTAAATATGATACATTTTGTTTTGATTCAGACTTAAAAACCATTAGCTCCTGGACAATGTTTACACAAGCATGCATTCTATGTAAGTTCAGTGCATTATACTAATAAAAGTTATCTCAAATGACAGTCATTTTCTGAATGCTTGGATGGCCTTAAAAATTGCTTACCAGAATCTTCAGGCTAAGTTCACGATATGTCAATTGGTTTTCACAAGATTTCATTCGGCAATTTAAACTGCTATATTATATTAGAAAAATTAAAGAGGATAAAAACTGCGTATCATGGATGCACTCTACTAATAAATGTTTATTAGTGTTCAACAATGTTTTTTCCCAAAATACTGTGTATAGTGAAGTTTTTGATCAATTTCAGGAGTTCATTTGTTTTATTAACATTAATGCTTATTGTTACTCAAAGTTTGAGTTATGCTGTAAAATAAAACAATAAAATTATTCATCCACCTCCATTTAATTTTTATTTAATATTATTTATTTATTTAATTTCATTTAATTTTCTCACCAGGTCTCAAAATATACATGCAACTTGAAAGTTGAATTTATGCTCTAATTTTAATTCTCTCACTTCATTAAGGTACAATTCATGCCATAGCAACTCTCATGCATTTGCTAATTTAATTCATTAGAGTAGGGTTTCTTAAACTGTGGGTCGCGACTCCTAAGGTTGCGTTCAGACGGCGGTGTAAAGGGCATAGAGGCGTAGTCATAAGGGCATAAAATACAAGAGTTCCAACCACACCTGCGAGAAGGGAGTGTAAGCCGTGGCCAATAAGAGAAGCTAAATTTGCACATGCATGCATGTGTCTACAACTTTCTCACTCTGTTCTTCTGCTCGACTGATTTCCGACGTTCGCTCTGCTTGTTTTGTGACAGCGAAATCTTCTGCAGAACGCCACTTCATTTTAGCTTCGCTCTGATTGGCCGAAGCTTATCCCAAACTCGGTATAAAGTTGAACCCTATGCCACGAGTCCTAAACCAGATTTTGTGACATAGCACAGACTGGTTGCCTTGATAACGGAGCTTGGCTTTAACCACTTATGCCCTTTACGCCCCCGTCTGAACGTAGCTTAAGAGGATGAGTGGGGGACTTCGTCGATTCCGGATTTGGGATTTTTCCAGATATCAGATCATTAGTTTAAATCTAGTATGATGGCATGTAGAAATTATAAAATTAAAAATATGAAATTGTGATTTATGAAATAATGAAGTATTTATGATCTAAAGAGTATCAAAATTTATGAAAAAAGCTTAATATTTATTTGTTTCCCTTATTAAACATTTCTTTAAGTTGCTTCGTTTTTTGTGCTAATACTTTCTCTTTAATTCTGTAGACAGACATAATCTCTTGTTCAGTTACATTGTTGAAGTTATTTTGCTTCTATCGCTCAGAGACAATTAAGCCTGAATTGTATTAGTTACTTATTATACTTATGTCTATTTCTTGCACAAGCTTAAAGCTTATCAGAGTTCTGAATAAATAAATTCCCGCATATACTTATTGAGAGCAGGCGCTAGATATCTTACCGCCTGATGCAGTCTCTGTGGGTCCTAAATTCTGCAACTTGGTGTGCTCATACCAGCCCTGGCACTGCTTCTGGGTTTATGTGAATAACAAATCAGTTATTCTTAATTCAAATAGTCCTAAATGTAATCATTGGGTCTATGAGTCTTTTTGGTAAATTTTTCCCTGTCAAAATGTTTAAGTGCATTTAACTTAAATATGTAATCATCACCAAGCGTAATGTCAACATAAAAAGTTACCATACCCCTTTATTATTCATTATTAACAGAAAAATTTGTTTAGGCATCACTACAAGAGTCATTACTCAAGTTGTCATGTTTGATAAACATGCAGTGATGAAAGGAAAGTATAACAAATAATAATTCCCCTGGTTGGCGTCAGATCGACGATATTTCTATGTGGAATGTTTCAGTTTGAGATCTGTGCCAAGCAGATATGCAGCAATGGAGCCAAATTACTGATCATACAAATTTATGCTAAAATGATTGTTTCTTCAATAACAAGGTATTTTATTTTGTGTCAAAGTGAAATTAAGAATCGGGACTCTCCAGCTGTTTTACTATGCATGGAGGGGGGAATCAAATGTGCATACCTAAAGCCTACGAGAAAAACGTTGGTGGTTTTGAGATCTGGGTTTTAGATCATTCCGGATAATGGACGTCTAGATTTCAGTCTTTGTACTGTAATAATTTACAATTACCAAATATTTTTACACAATGTATCTGAAAATACACAAAGATAAGATAATACAGACAAAGGAAAAAATGAAAACATTTCAATGCATTCTTTTTATAATAAAAACTTTCATTTTCCTTGCAAGTGATGCTGTCATTTAGTCTGATACTTATTTAAAATTTTCACAATGTTCTCTGTCTTAAAATTAGAAATTTAAGTTAATGACCTAAAACTCCAATAGCATATTACAGTACAAGTGAAAAAGCTGACAGTTTCGCTTATGCACGTGTCAGATTTATGCAATACTTATGGGGTTCCTCAAAATTATTGTAAATATTATGGGGCTCTGGGGATTGCGAAAATATCTCGGTGATAAAAAGGAATCACGAATGAAAAAAGTTTAAGAAACCCTGCATTAGAGAATCAGGGGCTTGCTAGTTAAATGTGAATGAACTGCTGGTTGCAAGATAGTGCAACACAGCAAAAAGGTAAAAAAATTTTTCTCGTTATATATGTATTAGAATGTTTTATAATATAAGTTTTTGCAGCTGCATCAATTCTCATTGAATAATACAAACTAAATGACATAATAACTCTTGTTCAGATATTTATAACTGAAATATTCCTCTCATAAAATTTTTAAAGAGACAAGCTTCACACATTCATCAAAATATTAAGACTACCTCTGACAACAATGAAATGATCACCTCAACATCAAAACAACAAATGAAAAACATCAAGACCTGCAGATCTTCAGTGCAGATATTGCTAAGTTTATTTTAAGTGTTTATGGTATATTATATGCATATTTAGCTTTTGATTACTTTTAAATCATAAAATACACTTTGCTAATTACATTTTACCAATGTGCTATATAACTTTAAAATTCCCAGCACAAAATTAGTTACAAGTCAAAAAATATTCTTTTTTACTCTTTACAATAATATTAATCAAATGCAGAGTTACAACATAACAATTCTTTAAAAGTCTAACTAAGCTTTTTTTTAATTTTTTTTTTTTTTTTTTCTTCTACATTTTTCAGAAGGAGTCATGATATATGTTCAGTAAGCTCTATAAGAAATTGAAAACAAGCTTTTGTAAGCAAGGTAATGGTTTTACGAATATGTACAGTTGGTGGAAAGTTACGACTCTAACGTTTTGGAAGAGGCTTTAAATCTACAAGAATTAAAAATTACAATTAGATAGACAATTTCTACTAGCTTTCTTAAATGGACTACTGTTCTGAACTTCATTCAGAACATACATTTTTTTCAAAAAATATTTGTTATATTATCTTCAAATTATAATGATGCTACAATGTGATTACTTTAGAATTTAATAGCAATTCATGAAACGTAATAAATTTTCAAATAAATGAATAATGATTCTAATAACTAAGCTATCACAGTGCTTTTAAACAGATAATTTATAACATTTATAATTTACAAGAAATCATTTTCACTTTTTCCAAAGTAGTAAAAAGAGGAATCAAAATATTAATCATAAATTTAAAATAATTCTGTAGTTTCTAGTCATCACTTTTATACGTTCGAAAGAAATATAATTTACTTAAATATAACTATACTTATATGCACTTTCTCAAATTCTAAAATGTATTAGTCAGTATTTTATATCTTAATATTTAACTAATTTTCTCCGATTTTAAGGTATACTTACGTGAGATTAAACTTAAAGTTGAACTGCCAAGTAGTAAAACCAGGAGGAGATTTCCCATTTTCATCTAAAAATGTCAAACCTAGTTGAATGATCTTCAATAAATCAACATTACACCTTAATAGTTGATACTGGTAATCAGCCGTGCTACGAAATTCTCCTATAGGTCGCGCTACAACACCAGGAAATTCTGTATCCTAAAATACATTTTAAAACAATACTTCAGTAATGTACTTTTGAAAAAATATAAAACTATATGAACTGCAAATAAATATACACTAACTATAATAATAAAGCAGAAACTGAATATAATGATAAAAAAAAGATAGGCATGATAAAGCACAATGAAATCTTGAGCTATTCTCTTCTTTCAGAAAGTAATTTAATAAACTTTCAAAAATTTATAAATACAATAAAAGCCAAACTATCCAGCATTCAACTAACCAGAAAGCTCAAGAAATTAGAATATTTTAGAATTTAGAAAACAATTTTTTCACTGAAAAATATAATAAACCAGAGATTTGCAGTGTCGTTATAGAGCTTGTAATACTATCAATATGTATACATTGTTGGAAAACTGTGTGACTTAGCATCAATAATGGATTAAGCCTGATTTCATAATACATTCATAAAAAATTCTTGTTGGCTCAATTTTTATAAAGATGGAGTTGCTATATATTAAGAAGTTTGCCAATTATTCTTGGCGCAAACTGAAAAAACAAGCCAAAATTAATTTTTTAATTTCTCTAAATTTTGCACCAAATTTTAAAAATTTAATATTTAGGCATAATTTGAGCAGTTGAATCAAAATATGGAAACAAAATGGTATGTTATTTCAGAAAAAGTTTGATTTTGCATGAAAATACCTATGCTAAAACAATGCTATATATAAATCTAATACATATCCTATACTGCGCTTTCAAGACATGAAAAACGCAATTTGAATTTCATTAATCGGTCGAGTATAGGAGCTGTCCCTTTTTTTTTTTGTCTTTTTTTTTTTTTAGCGCAGTCCACATATTGTCGCAACCACCTTACTAGAAATTGTCAGAATACATCAAGCTCTGGTAACCATGCTCATTACAATTATTCAGGCAACCATGAGCATGAAAAATATTCAGTTTCCAAAGTTGCCATTTTTGTATACATTTTTGTTGTAGTATTCCAACAACTTATATAAAAAAATTGATTATTTTGCTCTTAAACTCAATTTTAAAATTTGTGCTTGTTGAATTTTCCCATAATAATACAAAGAGAGGTGAAATTTCTGCAGGAATACATTATTTTGCTGCAAAATCACTAAAGAAACAATGCTTCGAATTCTTTTAGAAACCAAAAATTTCCTCCACAACAAAAACATGTTTGTAACTAGGTTTACCGAGTGTCTTTTGGAATAAATATATAGTTGAAATGAAGAATATGTATGTATGTATCGTATAATTTTTTACAATAAAACTAATTATTCTTTGTCTTCCGTTAAATTCACCAAACTGCGTCAAGGTGGTTGCAATAATATGTCATTACCAATGTTAATTATTAAATAGACCAATGTTACGTTTTTTGACTACATATACTACTTCAAAAATACTTTAAAATTTTAGAAGAAAAGTAAAATGCACAAAAAGAATTAAATATCAGACGTGAAAATAAGTTTTACCATTGCAATATAATTATACTTTTGGACAATCTGCCGTATTATTTTGAACTCATCTTCCATGTTGTTTGCCCACACATCACGTATACCACATGCCTCATTATTGATGAAATGAGTGTTAACACCATTGCTACCTGGTCCAGGCCCGGATGCTGTAGGCATTATTTCTATACATCTAATAACCAGATCTTAAGAAAATTATGAGGCACAAATATTAGATGATTCTAAACTTGTAACACTAATAATGAAGACATCTTCACAATGTTGACTAAAACTGCATCCTAAAAAATGAAAATAAATATTAACATAGAAATAACAAATATTTGTATTACATAAATAAAATATAAAACATTAAAAATTACAGAAAGATGCATGAAAAAAATTATGAATATCATAACCTACTACTGCTTGATTCCTATTACATTTTTATTACTGAAGTTAGTAGTGATAAACAAAAAATTATACATTTTAAAGGAAGAGATAATATACAGTAGGCTTTAACGCTGACTACCAACAACAGTAAATTCTGAAGTGAGAATCATAAATTGTCAAAGAAATTGCCACACAACACAGTTTTTGATATTAAAAGGTTTTCATGCGCTTTTGAGAAGGTATATGGTCAGAAATATCGCCCTTTCTACAATGCAATATTGAAAAATATCAATAATAAAAGGTACACATTATAAACATTATTTCATTTCTTTGATGAAATAATTCAGAGAAAGTCATCCGCATACGATTTTTCAAAAGTAAACTAGTAATTTACATTCTTCTTTTTTCTTTCCAAGCAAAAGTAAAATGCAAATTCCCAAACTATTTCTTGAAGCACGTGAAATTAATATTAATTACTGTTGACAGAACAGCCTCAATCTTATTTTTTGGTTAATAGCTTTAATCTTGTTTTTGGTGAGTAAATTTTAGATGAGACCTAGAAGTTAAGTCTTGGAAGTTCAGACACTTCTAGACATGCAGAGTTATAGCCTTTCATACCACCTCATTGTTAAAATGGCTTGCTGTTCTTTGATAAGTAATCTAGAAAAAACAACCAAGCAATTTCAGAAGCCAGAACATATACTGAGATGCATATAATGAAATATTAAGCCAACTACATAAAAGTCAAGAAAAAAATTTTGGTTGATCTTTACATTATGGTAACTTGGCGATATTTTGGCAAAAATTTGGCGACCAACTCTCTTACAGCAACCCTCTATTTTTTTTCACCGCCGCAATTTTGTCTCATGCAAAATATCAAGAAAAATTTCTGCAGGTAACAAAGTGACCATGAAGCTAATTATGAAACTGAGCATTTTGACCCTTTCAATCATTAATAAAAATCTTAAAAAGTATAGCACATTTTTAATACTCAAATGCCCATGTCTGACAAACAGACCTCCCCCCCCCAAAATGATACTTTTGCATTTCGCCGGCACAAATCTCGCCAAGCAGACTTTGTTGGCGACAACATACAGTATATACATAAAAAATTTTTAACAAATGTTAGTTCTAAGAATTTTTTAATTTTGAAGGCCTAAACATTTTAATATGGTTTATAATTTTGTAAAAAGCCAATAAATAAAGACAATAAATTTGTAAAAAGACATTAATTTAAGAATTTACTATGCTATCATGATTCAACATCTGATTTGCAGTTCGTATCACGTGACTCCAAGTGATCTCATCTCATGTAAACTACGCTACAAAAATATAATTCCCACAGTAATTATCTACATTAATTTTAAGTTAAATCTTGATTTGGAATACAAGTTTAAATGCAAGAATTATTTCAATTCGTACGAATAGCTTACTCAGAAATTATGTAAAATCGTAGTGCTTTACTTAGCTAGTGCATTGTCATTAGAATTGATGAATTTAACCCTTGATTTTGCCTTTTCTGTATTTTTGCCTTTGGGTAAGCGGTGTGATTGCATCCTAATTGACTTCATTATCGTGAATGGTCTTAAAGCATAAAATTTAATTATCTTTTTAAATATTCTATGTAATGATATGTCAGTATTGAAAGACATAATCAATCTGGTAAGAAGTGGCTGTGACCTGTTTTCAAAATGAGGCGTAAAAGGTTACCAGCGAAAATATTTCGTTTGGCGTCAGTTGTATCATATTGGCAACTTTATCGTCTGCGCCGGCAAAACAGAAAAGTACCAAAAAAAAATTTCTTAAGTAACATCAATCTCATAAGTTCAGCTATGTGAGGATTAAATTTGGTAGTCACTAATATGGAATACATGTGAAATAAACAATTTTTATACAACTGATACATGTATTTACTTCACCACATGAAAGAAGAAACATTGTTTCATGACTTCAGTGCTTGGCACATTTTTAAGAATTACACATACTCAGTATCCATGTACACATCGACTGATTTTCACTTAAAAACACATCCCAGAATTGCACAAAAACGGCATTGTGCACTCCCTTGACTTTATCCATGTACACATCGACCTATTTTCACTTAATAATCACAGAAAATAGACAGAAATCCAGTTCTTCTTACTTTTGTTAACGCCAAACAAATAAGTGGGCGATTCTGCACTTTACTTAAAGTATTTGAAAGTTAATAACTACGTATTTTATAAGATCAATATTAAAAGTTTTCATAATGTCATATACCATTTTTAAGACAGTAGCAAAATGAAGTAAAGCATTTTATCACAAAACTGAAGAAATTGTAATAAGCAGTAAATGAGCATAAATGATCGGAAAGCATTGATTCCTATTTAAGCCAAGAGGTTACCAGATTTGGTGCGATTTCACTTCACTTGGCGACTGGATCGTAATCTCCAGTCTAGCCATACTAAATTTTCAGATTAACATTAATTCCAAATAAATCTAATATCTTCAATCAACCACTTAATAACTTACTTTTAGCTTTAAACTAAAAATAAACATATTAGAAATTTTCCAAGTGGAACAAATTTTTTTGAAAATAAATAATGATAAAATACTTTGTATTTTGTTTACTAAACTTTTCTTTGAGACATACATAAGAAATATATAAATTATAACCTTTATTATTATTATTATTATTTCTTACTGCTACTTGCAGCTATAATATTTTGATTTTTACAAAGTTCGTAACCTTAGAGAAAATTTACTAGAAACTATCTTTGTGAACAATTACAGACGCTAAACAGTCAATAAGACTTAAAAATTTTCAATTGTGAAAAGAAAAAGGTATTCACATATAAATATACTTCCAAATAAAGTGATTATTTTTATAGAAAAAATTTGAAACTATGAGTATTCACCTTTTGACAAATACACTAAAAAGTAATCAAATCTACATCTTGAAATCTTATGTAACATCATATCATAGTACAAAGTAATTAGCTCTATTTGTAGATTTTCTGTGCCATTACGTTCATTTCTAATGCTAATAATATTGGGTTCCAAATCATTAATCATCATAAATCATATATCTTTCTTCAAATTCTGTCATTATAATTAACAGCATAATAATAATGCTAATTAATTTACTGAAAATGTATTCTCAGAGTGTGGAAAATACTTCAGAGGTCACATGTGAACCGCAAACCACCAGTCTGAGACCACTGCTTTGAATAACAAGGCAAAAATGTTAAGAAATACAGTTTAAAAATTCTGATGGTTATATAATTATAAAAAACTGTAATTAAAACTGAATTTATGATATGAAGCTATGCATATACACATAAAACAGTTCAAAAATATATGCACACATCTATGTGCATGAAGCATGGATATTAGCAGCATAAGAAAAATGCAACATCAAAAGAATACAATACATGTGTTATGAAAATCTACCAAATAAGATGCAAGAATTAAAATCTCAAAACAATTAGACATATAAACATAAATTTAAGTTATTTTCATTAAAATCTTTAAATCAAACAAATAAGTTTTATTTTTAATAAAAATGAAAAAAAAAATTTTTTTGAGGTTCTTTAAAAATTACTTGGATCAAAAATTTCTTCCAGCTTTTATAATAATTTTGTTTTTATTATAATTCTGGAAAAATTCTGAAATGCAATAAATGTTTAATTATAATACTAAATGCATCTTTGAGTCGCTTATATTTAACTACAAAATACTTTACCAACAGCAAATTTTAAATTAATTTCTAGACTCCTGATTCCAATAATAATTAAAACCATAAGAGAAAATTTACTGTCAAAAGCAAACATAAAACACTTTAATGAATAAATAACATATGGCTGCATTTAATATTAAAAATACGGTTTCAATTTATATATATATATTTTTTCATGTAACAACTTGTTTATAATGACTAAAAAAAAGGTGAACTTATTCAGGGTTATCTTCCATGTGATAATCTTTCTGTCTAAAGTCAAAGAAGAAAACAGTACGTCTAAGGTCTCTGAAATATTTTAAAGCTATATAGTTTTCTAAACAGATGCATCTTCCAAAGTAATATCATCCAAAATGCCATATTAAAAAAATATGCTACATTACAGTAGATACAAAAAGTTGTATGTAATACAACTTACATGGATATTAGGCTGCTGCATAATTTCTCTAACAATTTTCTTTTTTTGAAGGTGTACTATATACGATTATAATTCAGTACAGAAAATAGTTTTGTGACTCATAAATTGGAAAATTAGATAATGTACATAATTCAATTAGAGTTAACTTAAAATGTTTTCAGTATGCTTACATTAAACACATTTCATAGATAATTCTTTATAAAAATATACAAATTTTTATTCGTAAAAATATTTCTTTTAGATCACGAGTTAAGATATCGTTTAAAAAAGATTTTGCTTCATCTAGCGTACAAGCTCTGTAAACCATGCGAATGCTTGTCTACGCAATAATAGTTTATGCATAATTTTCGAGTAATATGATCACTTCTGAATTCATATACGAAATCGATTGATCATCCCTTAAAATATCAAAAGTACGTATTAATTTTCAACATACTCCAAAAAAAGACAGATTTCTGAAGCATACGGGAATGATTTACAGATAGAATACACAAATAACAAGAAACCACCGTTACAGGCGCAATACTCCCAATTATTAAATCTAAAATGCATCTTCTCCTATCCTGCTACGTATTTTTGTTGATGAATTTACAAATGCATTTTGCCCTGATCACGTGGAGATTACTTGTTGGGTACATATAAATAATTTAAATCATAAACAAAATTACACACGATTACTTTACAAAATCGTTTTGATATTCAGTGAAAAAGCACAGTACATTCCACTAAAACAAAATCCAACCCTAGTTCATAAAACATCAGATCGCAAGTTTTATACTTGGTTCTTATAAACCTCGAATATATATAGAGAGTAGCATTATTTCTATCACAACGTATAACTTACCTTCTTGGGTTATTTCGAACTTAAAACTGTAAAACTCTTTTCAAGTTGGCTACACTACTACAAAAATAAAATTATAGTCTTAAACTTGCAATAAGCAATCAGTTTCATACAGGAAAATATCTTTACTCATTCAAGAATAACATGCAAAAGCCTGTCACAGATCACACCGTAAGTAATCACATTTCACGCATTTGCCAAAGATGGAGAAAACCTTTCGAGTTGCCAACTCCTCCAAATGTCTTACTTTTGTACGCTCTGCCACATTATATGATCAAAATGGATAAGGTTCGGAGAACAGCCTTGGTTGCGCCAACTTTTGGCGTTAAGGCTGTTCTCCGAACCTTATCCGATCAAATTACTAGATTGATAAATTGAATTTCAAGAAATTATATTTAATTTAAATTTCAAACGTTTCCATAAACTGATCCAAGATCATTCCTAACAGGGGTACAGCACGTAAAAGTACGCGAGCGGCCGAACTCTCGCGATACCACGCCTGAATATTTTTAATTAATTGTAAGTACTTTTTATACTATTTGTTAAATGCAAGTACTTAGTAAAATTTTATTAATTATTAATCTTTTTTTTAAATTATAGGGAAGCAATCTGATGAAAGTACGCGAGCAGCCAAAAGCCTAGGAATGGTCCTGAACTAATCTAAGAAGCTCCAGCTTCTTCTATCTTAATTTGCTGTTTACTGAATCAAGACGGAGTTTACTGATCCAGTCCGCGTATTTCCAAACCCTACCCCACTTTTCGAATTTTTGACGTCATGGACAAATCGACTAGTTTCGCCTGGATGGTAATTCTTGAGCATGCGCTGAAGGGCGAGAAGTAACATAAACAGAACTTGTGAACTGTATGAAGTATATTGTGTGAAAAGTGCATTCGTTTATGTAATGGCATAATTTTACTGTTTCTGTAATAAGAAAACTTCATTCAGATAAAATTTATTTTAATATTATTATTATCTGGTTATAGGATTATACGATATGCTGAATACTCTAGGTACTATCGTAATCTTCGCATAATCTTTCACATTGGAGTTTGCCTTATCATTGTAAAATATATTGTATTATAAAGATTTAAATCAATCCAAATTACTGTTAGAGATGTGAATGTTCTAACTGAATTTTATTTTTACAACTCATTATTTATTTCCGCTTGAAAAACACATTCATATTTGACAAGTAATTATCTCCGCAGAAAATTTTTTGATTGTTTAAAAACTATATTTTTCAATAATGCAATAAAAACTCACTAATCTAGTGCTTCATAGATCAATATGACAACGAATTCAAAATGTTTTAAAAACAGTTCTTTAATCTTTAGTTTGTAGTAGATACAACTAATGTCACAGAGAAAAAAATATTTCAATAAAGAAGTTCTCCATGCTGATTCAGTAGAAAAATTATTTCTATTTCAGTGAGAAAACCACTTTCAATGCTTATATAACAGAAAGATGTAACATAAGCATTTTAGAAGTTTTATGTAAAAAACGTAATAATTTACTTTCATTCCTTTTAAATCGGCATATTCGTTTCCAGTAGATAGCTAAAATTTTTGGCAAGTTAGAGACTTAACTTGAAACACACAGTATCTCTATCACTTAAAATATCAATTAATTGTTCTTTTTCATTTAGAGATACATTGGAATTGAAAATACCAAAGGCAAAATGGGTCACAGATCCAACCTAATTCCTTATTTGGAAATTTTTCAAAAAATTTTTCTGTCAGTTTTATCATATGTTGTTTTAAACAGGAAATCTGTATTATTTTCTTTAGTAAATTCTGAAGAACATGTTTCTGTCGTTTTTGTTCAATTCTCCTTGCCAAAGTATTAGCTTTACCCTTGATTTTGCCTTTTCTATATTTTTGCCTTTGAGTGAGTGGTGTGATTGCATTCTAATTGACTTAATTACCATGAATGGTCTTAGGGCATAAAATTTAACTATCTTGTAAAAATTCTATGTAATTGTATGGCAGTATTGAAAGAAACAATCAATCTGATAAGAAATGGCTGCGACTGTTTTGAAAATGAGGCGAAAAAGGTTGCCAGCGAAGATATTCCATTTGGCATCAGTTGTACCATTGTTGGCGACTTTATCGTTTGCGCTTGCAAAATGGAAAAGTACCGTTTCTAAATGTGTTTTTAATTTTGCAGGTTTCATGCTTTCCATATGCCAAGTTTTTACTGCATTTAACACACAATGGCTATTCATTTTCCATTAATAATGCAACATGTAAAACAGTATAAAATAAACTCTTCTTGATATTTACTCAATTTTTTTAGAAGCTGAAAGAGAACCAGTGGATTCATTTTTGTTTGCATTTTCATTAATAGTTTTTCTCTAAGTTTATTTGATGTTGGTACATCCATCCCGTTTCTCTTGTGAACATTGAGTATCTATTTTGGGCCATTTAACCATCAGGAACAAAAATTGCAACTAAAACTAAATTGTTTTTTTATTATCCTTAGACACTACTGAATTTTCCAATACTTAGGAAATGTTAAGTGCTTACTTGACAACAATTTGATTAGAAAAAGAAACATAGTTTATAAATGATGCATATTACAATTACAAATTGCATGCAAGACACTACTAAGATAGTAAAAAAAACTACATCTTAGCGCTGCGCTATGCAATTGCTTTGAAATTTGATTCGAGCTGTTTGGAAATCATCAAGCATAACACACAAATCAAGTGGAAAGCAATAAAATCAAAATTAAAATATGGAAATGTTAAAAAACATCAAAAATTCTCTTCAAATTCTGTATATCTTTTATTGTCAAATAAATTTCTTTGAATTTGGTGACCCCCACAAATTTTTTCATGACTCCCAGGTTTAAATTTTGTAAAAAAAAAAAAAAAACAATACAAATTATCAATTGCATTTTGAAAAGAAAAAAAAAAAAAAAAAACATTGGCTGTCCAATGTGAAAAGTGAATTATGGTTTAATATGTTATGTCCATAGCTTGTGTATTTTGATTATCTAATTAAATACAGAATGATCAGTTCCTTCAAACTTCTGCTGGAATAACTGGTAGAAAATCTATCCGATTTCAGATGAACAGAAAGCAAGTGTTGTATTCTTATTCAACAATTAAAGTACTCTCGCATAATACTTACAAGGAACAAGTTAGGTTATTTAACTAAAGTGCAATCAATTTTATTCCTTATTTGCATGAATGACATATCACACAATGCTGTGTAGGCTGGTGACCTAGAGATGATGACTCAAAATGCACCTCTGCATTCAGGCATACACTCCTTACAAGAATATTACCATGCAGTGGAGTCCTAGCTTCAGCAGGTACATTTTGTTGTGCTATGCAATCTCCGTGGGTCCTAAATTCTAAAAACTTTTTCACTTTTTTTTTAATTTCAAAAATTTTGCTACTTGATATTTCTGTGAATTCCAAAATTTTGCACACCTGCCATAACCACACTGGCTGTTGCCTCAGTTATCCAATGTTCTAGCAAGATCAAATATTGTAACGTTATTTTAGACCAGACTTTCTTAAACTGTAGATTGCAACCCCCATCTGCAGCAGGGGGTCGCAAAAATTTTTAGTAGTTTTGTTATTTCTTAAACTCAATATAATAATTTTCAATTACCCAATATGTTTACACAATGTATCTGAAAATAGATAAAGATAAGACAATAGAGACAAAGAGAAACACAAAAATGTTTCAATGCATTCTTTTTATAATATAAATGTTCATTTTACTTGCTTTGCACATGACGCTGTCATTTCATCTGTTACTTAATTAAAATTTTAACATTGTCTTAAAATGAGAAATTAAAGATAATGACCTAAAACTGCAATACTATCTTACAGTACAAATGAAAAAATTGACAGTTTCACTTGCGTGTTTCGGATTTTTGCAATGCTTATGGGGTCCCACAAAATTTTCGTAAATATTTTGGGGTCATGAAAAAAATCTGTGATAAAAAAGGGTCATGACTAAAAAAAACTTTTAAGAAGCCGTTTTTAGACCAGTTTCCTGACGGCAACCCATTTTTGGCCTGTTTTGTTTCTCAGCTGAATTATGTTTCTGTGGGAATTTTTCTATATTTTTACTGTTTCAGCTGAATGAAAAAACACGCTAAAATGTTTGAAATGACTATAAGGGGGAAGAGGATCAAATACCTCACATTATTATCATCTCTATTTATCTCCTGTTTCGGTTGAGTTGAATTATGTTTTTTGATAGAATTTTTCCATATTCCATATTTCAGTTAACAAAAAATCAACTTTTAAAATATTGGGGAAAAGCATGTACTAAAATGTTTCAAAATGAAAATGTGAGATAAATAAATATATGAATTAGTTTTTTCTAGGAGTTCTTAGAGATATATATGTATAAAGAAATTTAGAACCAACTTTTCACAAAGACTAAAAAACTGAAGTTCAAATGATCTTCATAAAATCCTATCTAAATGTAGAATAAGAATACTTTAAAATGTAAAAATTAATACGTTGACTGCCGCGCGCATTTTACGTGATTTGCCCATGATGCCAACTTGAAATTTTTATTATGCGATATATATTATGTTGAAATATTAGCTACAGAACATAATGTTATATATAATCGTGCTTAATGCATTTTTTCATGCTGGGGGTCACCGGCGACCCCCAAACATATGTAGACCATTTTTGTGATTTATAATTTAAATTTTTACGATTTATTATTCTTCAAACCATTATAGTAACAATGGTACTATTTAAAAATTTATCAGTATCAATATTTATTCTAAGTTTGTATTTTACTATTGGTCGCATTACCGGTGGCACCTGGGGCGCTGTAGCCAAATCGAGTGCTGGTCACCGGTGATCCCCACAGCAGTCAACGTGTTAAAATAAACCATCACAAGAAAAACAAAAAAGAAGTATAAAAGAACAAGAAAGGTGAGGAATCCAAACAACTTTAACATAATATCGTCAAGAGGAGGTATGTCGAATTTAATTACATTTCCCCTTTTTAAAACAAAATCATTGCTTCTCTGTATCCAGAATCAGCTGATGAACCATTCAATATATTTTTTATCTTAATAGTTCACAAAAAATTCTAGTCCTCCTCAAAGCGAAGGAAAATCATTTGAAAATATCTTCCGATTTTAAAATATTTTTCTAATCTAAAAAAAAAAAAAAAAAAAGGAAAGAAAGAAAGAAAGTAAACATGCCCTTAAAAGTGT